GAAGCAGCTAACAAGAATGAGAATTAAAGGTAATCATACCTTAGAGAAGGTGACAAAATCAATCACCTCTTTTGCCTGTAATTGGTGAGATACTATCACTTTTACAGCTAAAAATACTGGGCTTTGCTTTGCTTTGGGCTCATTTACCAACGAATACTTATAGTAAATAAAGTCTTTCTGTCATTCACCAAATGAGTTGTATCAATTGTTTAACAACAGTCCTTAATCCTATTTCATGACTTAACAATCTTTGTGCAGTAAACAGTCCTGAAACCCTGTGCTTTTCCTCCTGACTCCAGTGCTAATGTATGCCTTTCCTGTTCTTCCCCCTCTGAGTTTTTTTGCTCTGCAACCAAACAGAGTTAGCTGTAAGGTGACTTTTGCTGTAGAAGATAATATTTGTGACTGCTTCTGTAAGTGTTCTCTAATCAGGCTCCCATTGGAAAGGGCTCAAACAGTGCAGGCCTGCTGTAAACTTCTCACTTGACTAGCTCCAGCCCTGTAGCTGGACTTCACACAGGCTGAACAAATAACTGTCTTGCACAACAAAAGCAGGATCTAATCTTGACCTCAGCCCAAAGCTCCTGACACTTTCCCTCCTTGCTGCATCAAGGCAGTTGTGAATTGTCTGAGAGCTGACAGGAAAAAGAGATCTCCCAGCCAAAGAAGGATGGGGAGGAACTCTGAGGATCATGAGCTACAGGGCTATTTCTATGACCATCCCAGCTGGAAAGCAGAAGCTCAGAAGGTCTCCACTGCACTCAGGGTGGAGCATGAGTGACTGGTGCCTCCTGAATCTGGGGGGGCACCCGCAGAAGCCACTGACAGTAGCAGCCCTGTGGGGGGAGAGGCACTAACCCTACTGACAGCATTGGTGTCAGCCACCGGGGGGGGTGCACTGGTCGCAGCACATGCACTCCCTACCAGTTGCCTATGGGGTGGAGGTTCTGCAGCCCACCAGTTCCCTGTGCTGGCAAACGGCTTTTGCCAGTGGTAGTCAAGGGGAATGAAAGGGGAGCCTTTTGCTTCTGAATTGCTGGTTGGAACGTCCAGACCCAAGACAGCAACAATTACAGTTCCCATCCCATGAGAGTTGGGAGGCCCTTGTGCAGGGGAGTCATGTGGGGAGGAGACTGTCATGACAGCCATCCCTGCCCTTAGGATTAATTGCCCCACTCCTTGCTGACCCCATCTGCAGAGAGGTCAAGGCTTTGGTGGGCCAGAAGCAGCCATTTCTCTTTGACCCAGGCCCAGTTTCTGAGTGCAAAGCAGTGCCTGGACCGTAGGCAGATCTTGTCATGAGGTTACCTGAGGGGCTGGTAGCAGCGAACAGAGAGTTGAAGTCTCCAGGGCTCCCATTTAGTATTTTTCACCAGCACTTGAATACTGCTCTGGGCTTAGAAACACAGGGAAACAGGCTGGCAGGGCCCTCGGGAGGTCTAGTCCAAGCCCCTGCCCCAGGCAGCACCAGCCTTTGTGCTCATCATCCACACCCACTCTCCACCCTGAGCTGGGGCCCAAGTCAGGGGTAGCACAAACCCAAACCTCAGCTGGGGGTGCTGGGAGCGCCCCTGGGAGCCAGCTCTCCTTCCCCCAGTCTGATCCCCCTTCCCACCCCTCTCCCCGAGCACAACCGCAGGGGCTGGCTGAGGCCATCCACCCACTTTCGTCTCTCACAGACCAGCATCGCCCCCTGCTAGGGTGCAATCACCTGTACCTCAAAGTGCACCGTGGACCAGTCCCACCTCGCTGCACGGGCTCCAAAGCCGGGGAAGCAGATCTCCCTGTGCTGGCAGCTGCCTCCGAGGGACACCAGAGGCATGCAAGGAAAAAGAGGGAACGAGGGGGCAGCTCCAAGGGACCAGCCTTTGCAGCGCCTCCCTCTCGCTCTGGAGGCCCCGCTCGGCAGCACGGCGAGGTCAGAGCTCCGACAGGAACTGGGTGCTGCCC